TGAGACTCAAGCGTCCCTTGAAGCTCTTCCTTCGTTAATACTGACAAGTCTTTCGACTCTTATATGGCTACTACCACATGGTCGAACTTTAGAGCCAATGACCTCAAGATCTTTGGAACAACTGATCTTGATGTCAACACTTTCCCACATACCATGATTTGATTCACCAACTTTGTAACTCTAGTGAAGAAATCTGCTATACTTTCACTTTCTTCCATTTGAAGCAATTCATAAGTTTTCTTGTGAGTTTGTAACCTCACATCTTTCACCTTTTCTGCATCTTCCAACGAATTTTCAAGAATCTCCCACGCTTGCTTCGCTGATTCTACATCACTAACCTTTTCAAAATTTTCTGGATCTACACATTGATGGATTATAAAGAGAGCTTTATAATCTTTCTTCTTCAATTCTTTGAATGCAACATTTTCTTGATCTGTCGCGTTTTCTGCAAGCGGTGCTACTCCTCCCTTCACAAGATCCCAAAGATCTTGATAACAGTAAACCACCTTAATCTGCTTTCACCAATTCTCGTAATTATCTTTCTTGAGAATTGAAAGGTTTGCCGGAAAGTGACCGTTTGGATGATTCATCGACATCACGATTTTCCTTTCTTGAATCGTAACCGAAGCGCTAGATACCAGATGTTGAAATTTCAACCATAACCTATGGAGAATTTCACTCAATCAATCTTGATCTCAAGATTGTTTTAACTCACGTAATGATAATGAAAGAAAACTTTAGAAAAAAAGAAAGAAAGTAAACGTTGGAGAAGAAGAAGATGATGAACAATTTTCTGCAGAGAACTCTCTGCCCACAAACTGTGAAAATTCTGTTATTTCACTTGCAACTGCAAACTATGAAGTACAAAATATGATGAGATGAGATGTTTACAAAATAAGGGTTTTTTCCTATTTATAGATTTAGGTTAGCTTGCACCCCAAGCCAAAACCCAAACTATAAAAGCCCAAAAATATTTAATCTAATCTTTCTAAATCAAATTTGATCTTCTTAAATTAAATCTAATCTTTCTAAAATAATGAATTACATATTTAACCTTTATAAGGTTAATTATATCAAGAGATAGGATGACTTCAAACAATTCATAGAACAAACCCTCATCATTTAATAGTGTGGGATAATCTTATTAATAAGAAAGGATGAAATTTTTTTTATAGAAGATGTGAATTGTGATATTTAAGATTCTATCAAAAAATTGTTTGTTTCTTTCTCGTCATCAAGTTAATAATATAGTGGAAATAAAATAGAAAAACCGATTGATCTTTATAAAAGAAAAAGTAAAGTACAATTTGAATGCTAAAATTAACACCATTATTGATTTAGGCATGGATGAAATTTTACATGTTTCACACCATAACATGTTAGAAATTTGAGTATGATAATCCTGGATAACTTCGAGGAATCGTGTTCGTACACTTTTCGAACAAAGTATTTCGATCCTATTATTGCCTGAGTTCACAAAATCTTTGTGGGGATAATTCTTGAAGAACAATCTGCTTCTGGCAATAGAGAACAGATCAGGAATGTAGAGAGAAAGTATGGTTTTTGTTAAATCGTTTAAACTGAGGCCAAATGACTCCTTATATAGGAGATTAATAACAAAAACCGAAAAGACACAACTGTTCAGAAAACGGTTAAGTTGGTTGGGAAAGGGTTCAACTGTTCAGAAAACTTTCGAACGGGTTCAACTGTTCAGAAACTGTTCAAAAATTTTGACAGCGGGACCCCAGCCAGGGGCTCTGCCCCTTGGAACCCCAACGGGGCGCTGCCCCGCACCCCGCCAGGGGCTTCGCCCCTTGGAACCCCAGCGGGGTGCTGTCCCGCACCCCGCCAGGGGCTTCACCCCTTGGAACCCCTTTTCAATTTTTCGCATTCAATTACACGTTGGCTCGACGAGCGTGCACTCCACACTACCCTAACTCGTTTCCAAGCTTAACGCATAATTGCATCGGCCTACAGTAAATTACATTACTACTAAAATACATTGATGATACTAAAATCACCAACATAATATTGCTAAAGAAATAATCAAAATAGTGGATACCCGAAGACCTAATCAAAGATACAATTGAGATAAAAAAATAAATACTAGAATGAACACTGACCAATGAATATTATCTTTTTAGAATGATGCTTAAAGAAAATATTCAAGACATCAATTTCATATTTTAATTATTTCAAAGACATCATATTTAAACATTCATTTATTGGTAGTCTAATAAATTCTTATCAAACATATAGAGAAACATTCATTTATTTTTACCGACATCTAGGTTTTTTTTTTATAAACTAGTTTAAATTTTTATTTTTATTTTTTTCTTCAATTTTGTCTTATCTTAATTAAAAATCAAAATTAAATACTAATTAAATATATCATTTTGTAAATATAACTTAATTTAACCGCTCATTATAAAAATAAAAAAAACTACAAATTCAATCCATTAATTTATTAACTTAATTTAACCTCAAGATACTTAGCAATAATCTTATCCATTAAAACTTGTCTTATCAACTATAACTATTTTTTAAGCTAGCATATACTATACACTTTTTCAAATAAAATGTTTTCATATATATATATATATATATATATATATATATATATATATATATATATATATATATATATATATATATATATATATATATATATATATATATATATATATATATTCGAGCATGTTTATGGAACACCTCAGAAAAGAAATAAGTCAGGGTGGGTGGAGTATCGGTTATCACTTGGACAACGAATGAACTAAAAAAAAAATACAAGAAGCGTTCTATAAGGGGAAAGATAATAACAGAAAAAGTGACAATATTCATTTCTTTAATACCTGTTTCTTTTTCATGATGTGATGCTCCTCCATACTGTCCACGCAACACTGTCAAAACAACATCACAAAAAATAATTAAAATATCCTAAGGTGTAAATAATTAATATACACATTCACCTGAGCTAAAGTTATGCATACTTTATATTACTATTACTTTGCATGGCGTGGCGTAGAGGTAGTACAAATTTGACTGACATTAATAATTTATGTATTGGATTATACTTAGTTTCAGTGTAATGTTGACCAATGTAAAAATGTCATTATTATTACCGTAAAATCTATATGAGGGAAAAGAAAGTGTACAAGGAAAGAGATGAGCAAAAGTAGAGGTGAAAATGATATGAGATGAATGCTAGAGAGTGGGTGACAGTGATCTCACATGAAGGTGACCCTAAAATTGGTGTATAGTCAAATTAGTACTATGCTTGTCACACTAAAAAATGGGTACGGCCAATTTTGGCTTCATGTAAAAGAAAAATCCTTTACTTGCTAACTATTTTTATAATATAACACTCTATTAATTTAGTTAAAAAGTAATAATTTCAAATTTTAAATAAAATATTCGAAATTATATAATGAGTTTAAAAAGTAATAATTTCAAATTTCACATAAAATATTTTCATAGTTCTTTTGGGCCGGCTAAGAGCTCAACTAAATCGACACATCTCTGAGACTCTCGTTGAGGAGAGACAAGTCAGTAGAGACGTGCTAAAAGGTCTCACACTTTATCTGAACCATTTTTCAATAGATACTAACATATCTAATCGAAAGGCATTCTACAACCTACGTCTGATCAAATGTGAGGGATTTTAATTATTTATTATATATAATTTATCATGCTTCGTAATAGATATTCATTCACCTTCATTCTTACAAATTATATATTTTTAATCTCGTTGACTTTGACGTTAGAGTCTTAACCTTACAATTGAATAATATAGAGAAACTTCTCAACATCGTACCACACTGATCTCATGGGAAAATATCAACACGGTACCATCTATATCTCATTCGACATTAGAACAATAGTTAAATAATAGAGTAATAATATCTAAGACGGAGAAAATATCAATTACTAAAGACCTAATAGCAATTAAATTCCAACCACATACTAAAGGATTTGATTATATATGTTTATAATTGAAAGAGACATATTTTTTATCTTACAAAAATAATTGAAAGTGATTTAGACAATGACATAGTACATATTAAATATGTATCCTTTTACAATAGTAAGTACCTGAAATAAATTAATTTCATACGGTACACTTTTTTTCTAGTTTTGTCATGAACAACAAAATCGACAACGTCTCATTCACGAGAAATGACCATTTCCAACTTCTTTTGTTTTCTTCCACTCATCTATATGTTTGTCTTCTTCTTCTCTTGGAATGTGTGTTTGATTCTCTTCTCTTTTTATATACATATTTTCTTAACTTGCTATGGATTATGTTCATTGTTGCTACTCATTGATGAAATCACCATAAATCATTAGTGGTTCTTTCTTCAAAGCAATATCAAACATTTTTACTACTAGTACTATTAAATTAATACAAAGGTATGATTCCAAAAACAAGCTTAAATAATTGCTTTGAAATATGTTAGAAGAGAAACCACCCTTATATCAGTGGACCATATGCTATATAATATTAAGCATGGTTTTTTCTTATTTCTTATTAGTTTATAACATGATAACTTTACTCAAAGTTGCATGAAAACTTTATATATTAACCAACTTAGGAAAATTATTTATAAAAAAAAAAAAGAAAAAAGTGACTAGCCCTTTATTCATTCATATAATTTTTTTCAAACATATAATAAAAAATAAAATAAAAAAATACACAAATTGATCAATGGTGCAACATTTGTATCTACCGTCAAAATAAAAATATAAAAATAATTTTTATTTTATTTTTAAATTTAACGGTTTTTACGGCTGTTGCACCATACAATAGTTATATAAGATTTGAATGTACCATAAAATTTCTACTTGATATAATCTATTTTATACATTAACATAAAGTTTTTTAAAACAAGGCTTATAATTAAATAACTCAAAATATTATAACAGATTCCACACCCTTTTGATTTCTCATTGAAAAAAAGTAAACTACATTGAAATATAAAATAAAAAACTCTCCCATTGATTCAATTGAAATGTTGTTGCTCCAACCATGGCCAAAATCCAGTTTGATCATCCATGCTACAAAACATGTTGCTTAAGCTTTCTTCTTTGACCAATTGATCAATCTTTTGGCATTGAAGTTGTTCCGGCCTCGAAGAAGTTTGAAAAAGTTGAGCAATTCCTCCTGAAGGCCTAGCAGATGGACATGGGAAGAAGCTTCTGCTTGTTGTTGTTGTATGGTGTGTTGATAGAGGACTATCACTAGCTTGTGTTCTTGAGATATCTAACTTGATATCTGAACTGTTTTCACTTCTATTGCTGCTTGATCCTTCTGTTTCTTTATTTAGGTTGATTGATTCAGTTGGTTCTCTACTTTTCAATGCCATTATCTGTATAAACATTGAATTATCGAATCTAATAAGACCACAAATTAATCGAGCAAACACGATTTTAAACTCAGGTTGCAATCCTAGTTCATATTAAACTGCATAGTTGCAGACTGCAATTTAGAACCATGATAAATAATAGTAGTATGTAGGGTTTTAAATGACTGTCGCATAAAAACTTTTGCGATATTGTTCCCTCTTTAGATATTGTGATACTGATTGTAATCGCCGTGCTGTGAATTAATCATAATTTCATTTTCATAATAAAACAATGACTAATGATATTTTATCGACATCTTTTAATACCGTCTTATCATGGCTGTTTTCATAGTAACAGATTGTTTTAAAAAAATTTGTCATATGATTTTAAAAAATTAAATCTTTATAAACTATAAATCTTTATATGGTAAGATGAAACATTTTTATGTGGAAAACAAGGAAGCTATTTTAGAGAAAGATGTGATTGAAGTGAAAATAAAATTATTGGATCTTGATTATAAGTTGCTTTTAGGTGAAAGGAAAAAAGCAGCTTTTTAGAAAGTTGATGTTAGAGAATAGGTGAAAGGAAAGGTTCTGAAAACTAGGCAGATAGTCAAGAAAAGCACAACTAGATCAAAAAGGAGCATCATCATTACCAAATATATTTTTTTTCTACAAAATATTCAAAACAGTAAATTTGCATAATTTAATTGAATTTCTACTAACCTCTGCTTGAAGTTTTTGATTTTGAGCTTGAAGTGCATCATTGTCTAACTTAACAGCATCGTATTGTCTTTTAAGGACATCATAGTCTTTTTCCAATTGCTTTGTCTTCCATCTAGCTCTTCTATTTTGAAACCATATAGCAACTTGTCTAGGTTGAAGGTTAAGAGCTCTTGCAAGCTGCATTTTCCTCTCAGGCTCAAGCTTGTTCCCTAGCTCAAAACTTTTCTCAAGTGTCTTCACTTGCTCCATGTTGAGCCTCCTCTTCTTCTCACCGGCTTGTGATCCGTCGTCTGATAAATCTTCCTCGGCTATATTGGCTTCTTCTCCGAGTTCGATTCCTGATGAAAATGACATAGATCTCTTTCCTAGAAATGATGGTCCTCCTACATCAACAATATTCGAAAACCATTTACTATAAAGCACTCATACAGACATCAAACATTAAACACTACTCTGACTCGTAGAAGATTGAAGCTACTAAAGTACTAATACAGACACCAGACATCAAACATCAGACAGTACTGTGGCATGTAGAAAATTGAAGCTATTAAACGTGACTACATGTGTTGGTGTTAGACACTGAACACGGGCTAGACACCATAAACGACTTTTGAAGTGTCGGTGTTATATTTATCCATACCATGATAATCTTGAGGTAGAATTGAGTTGAGTGAAGGTGGTTGATGATGATGATCTTCATGGTGATGAGGAGTTTGTAACATGAAATTTGCTTGGAAGAAAGCCATCTCATGCATATTTGCTTGTCTAGGCCTGCCACAAATCTTCAAGATTAGCTCAATGATATCACATGAATCTAAGATCATAACTTTGAATGCATAAATGAAATTTTCATATACTCAAAAGTTAAAATAAATTAAAACCAAGATATTGATTTTCAAAGAACACCAACATAAAAAGACTAAAGCTTACTTCACAACATCTTGTAATGAATACTCAAGAGAAAATTAAACTAGTCCTTCAATTGAATAGGATGGACAATTTTAAGTAGAGCTTTCTTTTTCTTATGTAAATATTTGGAAAAGAAAAGAAAGTTGGAAGAGAGAGATAAAGAAAGCTAGAGAGAGAAAGAGAGATGTGGTGAGGGATGTTTGAATCTATAGGTCTATACATCAACTTCCATATATATCACTTTTTTTTTCTTTTTCCCTTTATTGGATGTAAGTTTTATATATATATACTAGTGTCAAATAAAATAAAATAACAAAATCAAATATAATTTTATGCACATAAATAAATAAAAAAAAGGAAAAAGCATTTTTAGAAGAAAAAGATTAAGGTAATTAGATGTTTAAATGACGTTTAGTGTATGGGGAAGGAATATAGAAAAATAAATAATTAATAGTGTTTGCTTCTATGCTTCAACTTGTGTAATATTCCAATGAATATGAAGTGTGTTTGCATGTGCAAACTATTAAGTCATAATTATAATTTATAAAGCTTATGATATAAACTAGTTTCTTAGTTAGGAGACAAGTAGAGAGGCTCATCTTTATAAAGACAGTTGTCTTTAATTATAATGATGATGGAATTGGCAATTTGGCTTTATGGTTAATTATAGACCCTTTTTATGTCATTGATTCCATGTTGTGGAGATTAAGATATTTTGATTTTTTTTTTAAATGTGAAGTGGGTGGCTTTTTTAAAGGAATTGGTTATGATGATTTTTGTTGTTGTAAATAAAGTGATAAATAAAAGTCACCAAGATGGGGTAAAGTGTTCAACCTATATAGAGGGAAAGGTGGAGAGAAGCTTTCTTAGAAGAAAAATAAAAAGAGAGAAGCTTTCTTAGAAGAAAAATAAACTTTTTTGAATGTTGATGTGTTTCTTATATTTTCTCAATCTCAATTGTTAGATCAAGATCGTATAAGTTTTAATGAATTATTTATTTTTTAAATTTAGTTAATGGAATTTAAGTTTAAATGGTTAAATTAGATTTATCGAAATGAACATATAGTATATTAGATTTATCGATTCAAATTGGCAGAATCGTTGTATGATAAAACCTAAATCTCAAATGAAAAGAGAATTTTGAATAACTAAAATCGTTGTATGATAAAAACCCAAGTCTCTCATGAAAAGAGATGATGTAAAAACCCTAGAAACCGAAATCTCGCATCAAAGAAAAATGATATATAACATACGACACACTATCTCAAAAGTTAGAAACAAACAAACGACAAACTGCGTCATTATTATTTTTTAAATAGTAAAATCAATCTCTTAAAAACTATTTTTTTAGTCATATAAATTCTCTTTTCAGATATATTTAATAATGAATATTATACATCTAAAAAGAGAATATTTGTTTATAATAACGATCAGAGCCAGACTTCATATTTTAAAAAACACAAATTAATATACATTAACCATAATGGTGCTAGTAAAATAGATAGAGGAGATCATAGGTGGGCACACAAAAATTTGGGTTGTGTTTAAATCTTTTAGAAAGAAAGGTTGCTTAAGAAAAAAGAGAAGTGAGTTGGCTAAAACATGTAAAGTCCAAAATGGTAGTGTTTTTGTATGAGAATGAAAGAGAGAGAAAGGGGAAGGAATCTAAGGGAGATGGGTCCAATGAAGAGGGGGAGGGCAGTGTTTGCTACCTAACCCACCAACATATATCGTGCAATTAGGACCAAGCCCTTTCCCATCAACCATTATCCCCTCAGTTTTCCAGCCCAACCCCTATCAAATTTTGTGAATTGTGATGGATAGGGGCTCAAAACACAAACTAATAGTAAGAACTGTTTTTCTCTACCCTACCATTCTCTTGTCCTTTTCACAATCTTACTCTCTACGTGCCACACATTCTTTCATAATTACATGCATTTATACATTATAAATATCTTCATTCAATCCAACTATCTGTTTCTTCCTTTATTCAAGTTTCAATGCAATCACTCACACAATAGTGGTATAAATGATATACTACTATCTCTTACACAACAAATATTAAGCATCTATAGATGCATTTTTGTAACTCATCTAGACTACTTTTGGTGTATTTTGTATTTCCATTTTTTTAACTAACCTGCCTTTTACCATTCATGATTTGAAGAGTTTCGATGAACTTATAGTAAACTAACTGTTATTGGTGAATTTCCATATATAAAAATTGAGTGTGGAGGTTCAATTAAATAGTGTAAAGTATGGAAACATGTTTTCTTGTACTACATAATATGATATAGTTTTATTAAAACTAAATTGAATGTAGTCTAGTTTTGTTTTAGGTTTTATTATATATTTTAATAGTTGTTGACATATTGTTGAAATTATTATAGGATTGTTGAAATTATTATAGATGGTTGAGTATGATTCATATTATTGAGATAATTAAGAATAGAGATGTTGTTTGTTTGTTGAGGGTGACCGGAGATTAGAATTTAGATAAATTGAACCATAGAATTATATATGTGTCTTGTAACACTCTAATTCTAATAAAATTCATAAGATAGAAATAAGGAAAATTATAGATGCTCTATAATCGCAGAGGTATGCATCATTGACAGAACTGCGTTAACAAATATTGATCATGTCTATTGTCTTTTACTTTTGTTTACCTTTAATATTATATAATGGTTGTCGTTCTAACAATTGGTATCAGATAGTGACTAAGCCTAATTCGAAATTCAAAGTAAGAAGGTTTAACGGGACATATAATTTCATATTATTGCAAATGAATGTTAAGGATCTTTTGGCTCAACAAAGTTTAGAGAATGTGTTACGTGAGACAAAACCAAACGATATGTAGGATACCGATTGAGGTGAGAAGAAGAAGAGGGCCGCATGATTGATTCGTCTATGTGTTTCAGACGAGGTGATCTATCATATTCTGAACATGACGACTCTGAAGGTGGTTTAGGACAAATTAGAAAGTTAGTATATGTCAAAGACATTGATGAACAAATTATTCTCGAAACAACGACTATACAATCTGAAGATGCACAAAGGATCTGATTTGCAACAACATGTCAATGTCTTCAACAACATAATGACCAATATGGTGAGACTTAGGGTGAAGATTAATGACTAAGATAAGGTAATTATCTTGATTTGCTCGTTACTAGGTTCTTATGACCACTTGATGACTACTCTTACCTATGGGAAAAACACTATCAATATTGATGTGATTACTTCTATATTTTTTCTCATTCTCAAAGGAGACAAAATGTAGAGGAGGAACTCAAGGTGACAGTTTGTATATGAAAGAGAGTCAAGATCGTTGGCGGAACAAGTGTAATGGAGGTCATGTAAATAAGAGGTCTAAATTCTGAAATTGTAAAAAAATTGAGTATTATATATGGAAATAGATTGACCATTGGAAGAGGAAGTGTCCAAATAGAAAGCAGGACTCATCCAGTTCTGCAAGTGTGGTTTTAACTGATGATTCTGGCAATGAAGCAAATATATTGTGTGCTTCATCCAAAAAGTGCGTTAATGCTTGGATTCTTGACTCTGGTTATTGTAATCACCTAGCACCGCACCGGAAATAGTTCACTACATTCAAATCAGGTAGTTTTGAATTTTTTTTTATCCAGGCAATGATAAATAATGTACTATCAACGAAATGAGATAAATTAAAATTGTCATGGACAATGGTAGTGTTCCGGTCTGGTCCAATGGCTAGGCACGACCCAATCCACTTCTGCTCCTAGAACGGCCCAATTGCCTAAGTTCAACCTCTTTGGTAGAAAGTTTACCTTTTTGCCCCTCTAAAAAAGGAGGCTAGCCTATTTACCCTTGGTCATTACACTTCTCCCCATCAGTCTCTGCCCATCACGCACGGTTCCACCATCCAGAAATAGCCAAGACGCTTGTGCCCGTAACTACGCCTCTGCCCGCGCCAACGGCTAGTTATGGGTATGTATGCCCGTCCCAACGACTAGTTCTGGAAGTTACCTATTCTTCGTGAAACAATTGTCTCGCTCCGAAAATAAGGACCAATGGCCAAGCGCTGGGGGAATTATAAAAACCCTCCCATTTGAGGGTCAGGTATCAAATATTCATCTTAAAACACACATATTTTGTACTTGCTCACTCTCTTGCTCATTTTCTTACTTTAACATCAAAGTGCCTTGCAGGTACACCCTCTCCTCCTCTTTCACACCCATAATTACAGACGCTTGTCTTCGAACCATCTCAGGTTCTGATCATTTGGCAAGATCAGGTGGCATGCAAACATTGAACTAAGTTAGATATATTTCATAATTAAGCAAGAACTTGATTTCTCTAGGTACTCTATAGGTAAATGGTTTCTGATATAGGTTTGATGGAGGTAAGGACATTATGAAGTTTAGAAAAGGTACATTGAGTGTGATGATAGTAAGGAGGAATGCATGTAACATCTACAAATTGTTGAGGAACATTGTTGTAGGTGATGTTGCATTAGTTGAGTCTGGTAATGATGCAACCAAACTCTGGCATATGCGTCTAGGTCATCATAGTAAGTGTTGGATGATGTAAATTCATAATAGAAAAATATTGAAGAGTGTTTGTAGTTGTAAGTTGGAACTTTGCAAGTATTATATACTTGGGAATTAGTGTCATGTTTGGTTCAAAACCAAAAAGTACAAAACAAATGGAATTTTAGACTATGTGCATTTTAATGTGTGGGGACCTACAAAAGGAGTTTCAATGAGTAGTTCCAAGCATTTTGTGACTTTCAGGGGTGAATTTTATCACAAGTTGCATGTGTATTTCCTGAAGCTTAAATTTTATTTGCACAAGCCCTTAATTA